AGAGAGAGAGAGAGAGAGCCGGAGCCCTGAGGGTCGCTAGTCGACACTTAGGGGCAACAGAAAGAAATGGAGATAGCGAGAGAGAGATAGAGACTGAGGTCGGGACTTTGAAGCACGAGCTTTGGCAGACCATCCAGGCTGGAGCCGGTATGGAGCCTTGGCTAAGCCGAGATGGCCGAAATCCCGCCCGAGGCACACAACCACAATGCCGACCTCCTGAAGCACCACAAGGCAAGGCTGTGAGCAGGCTGTGAGAGATGCTGCGACTGCCTATGAAAGCCTCGCATCAGGATGCCATAGACCAGGTTCAAAGCAGAATGACTGATCTTGTGCCTTCCTGAGCATGGATTCTTGGATGAGTTCAATCAATGAAGCAATTGGCTTGCCCAGGCTCCGAACCCTGAGCTCGAACAGGTGTGGTCAGGGTGTTTCGTGCGCTTTACGCTTGTTTGTACCCCCTTGGGGCCCCATTGCCGCTTCTGGCCATGACGGACCACTTGTTGCAGGTGCACTTGCAGCTCTTACAGGTTGACAAGGCCCGGGAAGATCGGAGACACACTGCTCGGTGCAGCTGGTGCCAAAAGACTCCTCGAAGGTGCTTCAGAGGGAAATGGCCAAGGACGCCGCACCAAGCTGTGCTGCATGGTTGGAGAGCAGATCTCCGCGAAAGCAGCATATGTTCGAGGGGACCCACCTCCCACTGATACGAAGCAGGAGCAACAGATGGACCAGTTAATGGCGCGGCTGACGGTGGTACAGCAGCAGCTTATGTCAGTCTGGGTGCCTGGGCAGCAGATGAGCCTTCCGTCCCAGTCCGTCGGGCGAGTCGACACGCAAAAGCTTGACGCGAATCCTATGCGCATGATTGCGAGGGCACCTGAAATCACGCTTCTCGAAGGCAGGTGCATCCACGGGATCTTCGGCTTTTTTGGCAGCTCAGGCCTGGGTAGCAGTCCCGAAAGGGTCCGACAAGGCTTGCTCAGTGTTGGCTCTGAGATGAGCTTTGGTAAAACCCCTACCCACAGAATGATTCCGAACTAAACAGGACTCTGCTAGTGACAGCTGGTGGCAGCTAGATAAAGCTAGTGTTAATGGTCATTTCCGCATACCGGGTCGAGTCATCTGAAGTTACTTTGCATTTCACCCCTCTGCCCCCCTAGAGCAATTTCGCGACCCCTACAGCGGTCAAGCAGCTGGTCAATCTTAGAAGTCAGTCGTATTCGGCATTTCCAGGGGGCCCACTGCGACCTCTCCGAAAACTCATGTGTTTTTCGAGGGGCGGTGGGCAAGATCGGTGGTACTGTACCACAAGTGTGTTTTGCAAGACAACCAGTTTCCGGGCTGTGCATGACGCCGCAGTTGCCGCCGATGTGTCAGCTTCAAGGTATGTCGTCCATCGACACATGTTGATGCTCGTTTGGTTGAGCACATGGCTGCTGTGCGCCGGTGCAGACTGGATTGCATGGACTGGCTCGGAACAGCATGGCAGTGCCGTTGCAGATGGATGGCAGAAAGTCCCACGAGCAGATCAGTATGAAGTCTTGGACTGGGAAGTCGAGGGCAGAGCAAACGCCTACCGCTTCTTCTACCCGGGTGCCCCTTGATAATGCAGCAATGCAGGCATACGCAGGCACACGCGGTAACATGTCCTGCCGAGGTGCCACGCACTACACGCTGGGCACCCCCAGCAGCTCATCTCTGGTCGTGCAACTCGGCTCCCCAGGCCCTCGGCCCCCGATTCGGAGAGGCAACTTTGCCCTTCCAGTTTTTTTTTTTAGATGGGGAGTTGGGGAGGAGCAGCGGCAGAGCATTTCGAGCAACACACGGCCGGCGCACGTAGGCGGCTTCTTTGGTTGGTGTTGCAGAGAGGGCTCTTCTCTACAGCAAGCCCTTTCCTTTGACCCCTGTCGAGGGGTTTCACTTGTCTGAGTGAGCAGACAATCATCTCCTTTCTTTTCTCTTGACACAATCGGACTTTTCGTCCTCCAGCCTCCAGACGTGTTCAAGGCTTCTTACAGGAAGAGAGCTGCAATCCGCAGCATGATACACCCCTCACGAAACGGACGTTCAAGCTTTCTGCCCTAGGGTTTGGAGTTGAAGTTATTTGGGCTATTGCAGTTATTGGGTCCTGAGTTTGCTTAAAGCATCCACCCCAGAGCCCATGTTCTCGACCCAACTTGATGCAGTGTGTTTGTTGGGGTGGGTTGTTTGTATCGTCAACGGCCTGACACCAGTACAGAAAGAATAGCAGCACCAGGGTGAAGGGTGCCAAAACGTCGTAGTAGTAGTAGTAGTAGTAGTAGTAGTAGTAGTAGTAGGTAGTAGGAGTAGGTAGTA